CAGCGATTAGCTATGGGCCAACAGTTGCGTACTATGTACTGGCTACTAAATAAAAAATCACGACTCTCACTTCAAAAAAAACTATTGCTATACAAATGCATAATAAAACCTATATGGACATATGGCCTAGAACTCTGGGGAACAGCAGCAAAATCCAACATTGAAATTATACAGAGATTCCAGACAAAGATATTAAGAATAATAACTAACGCACCTTGGTGTATCTCCAACATTAGACTCCATCACGACCTCTGCGTCAAAAGCGTCATAGAAGAAATCTCCAAAAAGATTAAAGCGTACAAATCACGAATCATCCAAATATGCTGGCAGTCAATCTAATGAACACCCAAACAGTGGCTCGTAAACTAAAGAGAAAGATTCCCCAAGACCTTCTCTGAAAGGCACATGAATCAACGGAGCAGTCACTGGACAGCTATCGTGCAAGCCCTTCTCATCTTAAACATATTGCTGAATATCTGCAAATTGATAGATTGCAATAATGCCATTAAAAAAAACGAACTCGATGACGGCATTGACAGAAACATTTTTTATGTTTGGTGCTGCCAGACACATGATTAATGTTAAATTGTTAGTTCCTCAAACATTCATGTCACAACTATATTTATAAACTATATTATAGATATACAGTAGGTAATTTCATAAATTGTAATTATAACTGAAAATAGAATATTTTTTATGTGGACAGAAAATAATATTCACAAAATAAACTACTTTTCTTCCAATGAACAAAAATGTTATGTAAATTATCTTCAAGTTAACAAATTATTAAAATACTGTTCTCATATTATATTTTTTAGAGATTTATAATTTCGCACCATTTTCCGATAAAAAAGAATATTAAATACATAATTATTATGATAAAATATACGTGTGCCCTGTAGGATTCTGTACGAAAGGGCCCCATTAAGCAAATAATAATTAGATCATTAGTTTTCAAAAACATGTCTTAAAGATATTTACTAGTAACCTAAACCTAAAGTTGCACCTAAACGTTAATAAACAGATTACTTACAGAGCGCGAAAATACGTTTCTATCTGTCACTTTGCTCTCCATGGTGGGAATGGGAATGTTGTGAAACTATATTGACGTATCTAGGTCACTTATAAACACATGCAAAAGGCCTGTCCGCTAGCTTGTCGTTTGTGTTTTATAATTACTGTACGTATGTGCCCCGCATACGAATGGTGCCTACCTTCCCTTAGAACTTCTAACGCGTGTACAACACACACACACACTTTTTTTTTTGTTTATAAATATGTGAAATTTTTACTTCTCCTTACTTATTGTATTAAATCGTAAAAAGTAATTGAAGTAGAGTTGTGAATCGAACTCGAGTTGTAATGAAAAATAATCCCGCTACGGGGAACCGTGATTATCAGACGCCAAGTCGAGCAATATCATTTCAAGTCGATATGATTGACCTGGAAAAAAGTAAGTCGTCTCATCCAAAGAGAATGTAATCACTACCTACGTTTAAGAGACGGGACTTCCATACTAGCCAAAAATATCAGTTTACGCGGCACTCCAATACCAACCATACCACAAAAATACGACAAAGATGTCAAAAAACATGAGTACCAACGTAACGAGCCAAATAGTGCTTAACCAAGGTAGCTTAGCTTTTTTGATAAACAGTAGATATTGTTATACAAGGCTGATTAAATACTTATACTATATTTAAGTGAAAAAGATCTATAGAGTACAAATGTTGTTAAACATAATAGTTTATTTTTTGTTTATGAAAGGAGAAAGAAAAATGTGTTTCAATATAAAGTTAATTTAATAATTTGATGTTATATTAAGCTCTCAGCAGAAGAATTTCTAGTAGCGATTTAATATCTTGTTTAAAATTAATACTCATATTTAAAATTTTAGTAAAGTAGAGTTTGTCAATTGTCTTGCATGCAACTAGTCTTAAACACATTTTGTAATGTTTTTGTTTGTTTCTGTTTCATTGTGAAAAAGGGGAAGATGTATTATAGACTGAATAGCAAACATCACTAGCAGTGTGTTCTATATTAATCTATGGTTGTTTGTCTCTCGTCACTTGGGATAGACTGTTAATCGAAGAGAGAGTAAGGTCAGATTTGTATAATAATGTAATATCTTATCCTTTAAACGAGCAATTCTTGTATATATATAATCGGAATCTCGGAAACGGCTCCAGCGATTTTCATGAAATTTAGTATATACGTAGAGTCGGGGGCGAAAAATCGATCTAGCCAGGTTTCATTTTTAGAAAATGTCCTTTTATCCCTGTTTTCAGGGAATAAAAATATCATTCGAATATGACGGTAAATTTCGCCACAAGAGAAAATGTCGTAATAGCTCGGTCGGTAATCGAGCGGCCCCAAAACAGACGGCCGTGGTTCGCGTCACGATCATTAACACATTTTTTACTTTTTTTTCGATTCCAGATCATTGCTTTCTTTATTTTTAATTTTTTGTCGATTTGTTATTTTTCCCGTTTTTTTTAGAGTTCTTTCTTTTGTGAAAAACATCAGTTCATATTTTCTTTTTATTACGTCGGTAAGATCGAAAAATATGCATATTTCATTACTCAGTAATTTGTATCTAAATGTAATTTCCAAAATACACGATTCACGAAAAAAAACAAACAAACCGAGCAAAGCTCGGTCCTCCGGGTACTATATAATAAAACATTGAACGTTCCTCCAATAATTGTTTTATTAAACAATACACTTATCGATATCGATAAAAGATACTAAGTAGAAACCGAGGTTTCCACTTAATATTTTTTTATTCATTTTAGTAGGTAAGTACCGAGCCCGTATTTATGTCCAATGTTGATGAGGGGATATTTGGTAGAAAATTGGACTTGAATACGGACCCGAAATAAGATAAAAAACGGTTTCTGTTAATTAAAATAAAATGTTATTACTAAATAGAAATTTGTTTCTTGGTTCTTCAGCCAACATGTTGTCCTGCTGTACACAATGTTGTAACTTCCTCAAACACTCCTTTCAACCTCTGTCATCAATAGTACTCATATAAAGAAAAATAATGTTTTCTCTAAGAAGAAACTGTATTTTTAAAACCTAATCAATATTTAACATCAAACAAAGGATACGATGTCAAAGCTCATAATACTATTGTAAATTAATTAGATTTGCCTTCCCATAAAAATAGTTGTGCACTTAACAATAAAACAAATAATTCATCTATACAGTCCATTATAATTATATATAATTGCTTTATTAAATATTTTAAACCAACCATCCAACATAGCCCAACCAATAATGGAAATTATAAATAAGTACATTACTCTTAATGGACAGTTGCTCCAAGGCAATTCAGTTGAATTATTATAGTGTAAATAGTAAAGAAAAGTGATCTTATTCATATTATTAATAAGTATCATCCCACCATAGTATGTCTTCAAGAAACTTGGCTAAGACCTGAATCCATTTTTAAAATTCAAGGATGTTCTTGTGATAGAGAAGATAGATCTGATGGTTATGGTGGTGTTGTAATATTAGTAAAACAACCCTTCCCTCCCTTTTTCTCATGTAAATATTTCTCCTCATGATAAAAATCTCTCAATCATTGCTATCATTGTAAATAATACTTGCTTTGTCTCTATATAATGTATAGAGACATAGCATTTATTTTAATATCTCTTCGCAAACCTATACTTGTTTTAGGTGACTTTAATGCTCAACATCAGTCATTGGGTACAGTAATTCAAATAACAATAACTATGGACATGAAGTGTTGGACATTGTAGATTCACTTAATCTTTGTATTTTAAATCATTGCACTCATACACGAAGAACCATTATTAATGAAGGTAAAGGTGCTCCTGACCTTTCCATTTCTTCACCTAGTTAAGCCTCATCGTTTATTTGGCAAGCCTTAAACTCCACTTATGGTAATGATCACTTCACCTTTTAAAAATAGCAATAAAACTAAAACTTATTTCCGAATTAAATATCAGTTGGCTAGTGCCGGGTTGGGTTCGGATTTATACAAAACTGCCCTAGATAATAAAATCTACATTCTTTCCATCTTAAGCCAAGGTGATGAGTATCTGTTCTGAAGCTTTTGCATATGCTATCATTGAGACTGCTGACGAAGTTTTTCCGTCAGAGAAGCCTTCTTCAATTAATATTCCATTACCTCCCTGGTGGGACAAAAAAGGGGCCAAAAAAGGAAGGAAGCGGAATAAAATATAATTTATTAAATTCGGAAGTAAACTTTGAAATATTAAATAATGCTATTATTGCCACTAAAAATTATTCAAAAGAAAAAAATGAAACCAAAGAAAACCATGTTTAGTTTGGCAAAATATTAAAAGTTTCAGATAGTCAAGAATTTATCCCCCAGTTTACCGCCTAGTATATCTCATTAATTTTTGGATAATTTGGCTCCTCTCTTTGTTCCTCAACTAGGACTAATTTATAGCCCTATTTCTTCATTGCATAGAGCCAGCGTCTCCATACGTAAATCAAAAATTACTGTGTTACAAAGGTAAAATTACGGTCTTTCTAGACAAAATTACGGTGAATCGTCTAAAAGTGTACCGTGTAATTTTTCAAAGGAAAAAACAACATTTATAACCAAATAAAGTCCTGATTAAATTAGATTTTTTAATTATTAGCCAAGAAAATTTAAATAACATATGAAACATTGAACTCAAGTCACTCACTAAAAGAATTAAAATCGCAAAATCTCTCTCCGCGAATTACTTTTAAATTACGATTAGGGTAAAGGTTGGCTTTATGGTGATAATAAGAAAAAAACTTAAAATTTTATTTCAAAATTAACATTTATTAGAAAACCTCTTTACTTATTACAATAATCAGACTTTTCTTTTCAATAATTATTAATCACAGCAACTTAAATTCTTAAACATTAATAGGAAAATCAGATCAAAACAAATCTTTTTGGTGTTGGCAATATGGAGATACGGGGGCAATTTGGTGATACCACATGTGGCAATATGGTGACAAGTCTATTCAGGTGCCCAATCACTGTCATCAGTGCCTGAAAAGTCTACTTTATCACAATTATCACACAGGAACTGTGGCGACTCTGTGCCAGTACATTCTTGGTGGTACCATTTGCAGCAGCTCATGCACTCTACCCATACAGCTCCGTTCCTAAGTGCCACATCTTGGGGGTAGTGAACACCGCAATAGTCACACATCGTACTTTTATTTGATTTTGGTGTTTTCTCTACCTTGACTCTTGGTAGTTTACGCTTCAGGTTGCTTTCAGTTGAAGGTCCAGGAGTTGGAGAAGCAGAGGGGACACGAATCGAGGTAACGGTCTCCTCACTGGTAACGGCGACTGTGGTTTCGTTTGATATGGCGACGATGTTTTCTTCAGGACTGTCCATGTTGTTCGTGCTTTGAGGTGTTAAATATCGGGCCTGTGGATTCCGCTTAGCTCGTCGGGTACTAGAAGAAGAAGACTGTGGTACCTCAGGAACGGAAAGTAAAGAGAAAACTGAAGGTGACGCAGTTCACGATTGACAGCAGAAGCTTGGGCATTATCAGTGGAAGATTCAATATTCTGTGACTGTAGGTCACTTGGCTGCATCAATGATGGGGCAATACTTTCATCAGAAATGGCATTTCGATCAAATGGCGCAATGCCAGTTTTTCGAAAGCCGTTCATAATTATTGACGGCTGAAATGCATGCTCGTAGGCTGGTGTTAATAGGCGACAAAAGTCAAGCCTTGTTGGAGCACTCGTTGGATGTTGAAGCTTATAATCATTTAGCACTTTAGCCCATGCATTTTTCAGTGACTTGTAAACAGAAACGTCCAGAGGTTGCAGGAGATGGCTTGTGTGACTTGGAAAAGTGAATAGATAAATGCCATTTTTTGTAGCGAAATCTATAACATCTTGGCTGACATGGGTAGAGTGAGAATCCATGATTAAAAGTACCGGTCTAACTGGTGGAATATGAGCTTCAAAATGATGCATCCACTCCAGAAATAGTTCAGAGTTAATCCATCCGTTTTTGGATAATCTCACGATAGACCCTTACGGAGCACCATTCGCTAGATCATTGACCATTCGGACACCTTTAAAAATGATCAAGGGGGGTACAGACGCTCCGCTCGCACTACAGCACCCAAGCACCATTTGTGTGACACCTTTCTCTGCAAAAGTTCTACTGTAAATTACCTTCTTTCCAGTTTGAGTGACAATTTTTGACGGTTTTACGACGAACGTTACACCGGTTTCGTCGCAGTTATAAATCCTTTCAGGCTTTTGCAGAATATCCAGCTCAATAACGACGTCCAGTAGCTTTTTATAAAAATCGTCAATGTTTTGTCTGTTCAGTTTCAGCAGTAACAGCTCGGCATGCTGCAAGCTTTTCTGGCGTGCGCAATGAAAGCCCGTACCGTTCTTTAAACGACCACCACCAATAAGGCCCAGCTTTACGTTTAGCATCGTTAAACTGGTGATCTTTTCCTGCTTGGCCTGCTAAAGCGTAACATTTAGCTTCGATGTCTGTGACGCTGAGACCAAATCCTAGTTCTTGCATTTTAATTATGTAGGAAACAAACTTACATTCAAGGTCGCTGTCTAATGTGAATGGTCTCCCAAGTTTAGGTAAGTCGAAACTTTCACCTCCATGAGTAGCTATGTGTCTTCTCAAAGTAGGCCACGGTATGCCATATTCCTTCGACGCCTTGTACACTGACCAATTATCCTTTATAGCTTTCATATAAGCCTCCTTGAAGCGTGAAGAGTCATAATTTCTGCGTTTCTCGCCCTTCATTTTCCTTTTATTTGCCTTTCCGGACTTGTTCCTGTAAGAAAAATCATCCAATACGTAAGACTATAACCCGGACTAATGAAACACAACCCGATATTTTTTTTTAACAGAAAGATACAACATTTCAAGCTTCATCTACCCTGAAAACCCCATTCAAATTAAGCTTGAAATAAAATGAAAATAAGCTATGTAATGTTTTTGGTAATTTGGTGATATTTACGTACCGATTATCCTCCATTTTTTCGCATATTTTGGCGCGAAACAAATAAACCGCGTCCGGTGAGGACAGCGACCAGCGGCCAAATGAAAGAGAGATGAACATATACTCGCCTTCAGTTCATTGAAAAAACGCAAAACTCGCGCTGGGCATTATAAAGACCGTTGAAAGCAAAATTATCACCATATTGCTATATCAACATTTAGCCAACCTTTACCCTATTCTAAGATAAAAGCTTTAAATTGAAACAGTTCTTAGATTTAAATTTTTACCACGAATTTTTAACGCGTCGTAACTAGAACAAAAGACGACGTAGTAGTAAATTTTACGTCATTCATCCATCACACTTACAAATTTCACTCCTAATGTTATTAAAATAAGGACGAGAATAGATTGCATGGAGGGGGATGGGAATTCAAACATTGGTGATTCCCCTGGAATTCTCGGCAACCAGAAGGAGTGCTGCCATTAAAAAATATTAAGTTAATTAACTGAGATTCGTTTTACACAGTACATAATGAAATATTTTTAACTAGGTGACGTATAATGGTAATACGGTGATATATGACACGGTAATGTCACGGTCAATACCTTGACGGTAGTTAAAACCAGATTACGGCGCATCTACGGTAATTACCGTGTATATGGAGACGCTGCTAGAGCCCAACCATGAGAACCATTGATAAAAGAATCTAAGAGGGTGTCACATTAGGTCATGTGTGCTGAAGCAAAATGTTCTTCTAAGGTCACAAGTGTTAAGGATTTTACACCCGGAATGAAGATGGTATCTCTTGAATGGTAGATGTGGCTAATAGAATCACTTTCAAACCAAAAAGACACTTAAGGTCTGATAAGCAAACTATTTATTTCAACTTAAACATTTTGAACTTATTTTTAACGAAACGTAATCATTATGAAATTTATGTAAAGTGTAAACTACAAGTAAGAGTTATTCTATACTATACTTATTATATAGTAAGTCAGATAGCTAGACATGTTAGGTAGAACAATGCCCATTTTTGACCTGATTGTGTATAGAAGTGAAATAAATATTAAAATTGAGCTAATTTCATTTTATAGTAATTACACAAATCACAATGTTAAAAGAAGGTTGGGAAAAAATTTTTTTTTATATTTCTTTACGCTTATTTTACTTCAAGGGTAAACATATTACCATTTTTTTAACGCACCTTAACAATCCTTCGCATAGGACATTCCATTCAAAGACAATGTAATCACCACAGACTAATAGGATGATATGCATCAGACGGGAATCTTCATACAACCAATGAACCAATAGAGCACGGTAACTTAGAATTTGACATGTGTTAATTTTTTATTTTCATAAGTTTTTTTAGGCAAAAGCAAACCGTCTAAGTGGCCAAATAGGGAAGATGCAATATTTTCATTTTTGGTTTTATTTGAATGGATTTCATGTAGAACAGACCACAAGTATATTAAAATACTGTAATTTATTGTGAAAAAAATGCGATTTCAAATTGATGGTTTAAATTTTCGCGCGACAACGGATCTACAATTGCGATGACGCTACTCCTGCCTGTCACTAGCCTTACCAACTTGCCATATAATATAATTTGTCTCTCTTTCATGCCATAAGTTTTGATTTTTTAGAAATTTATTATTATTCTTTTAAATAAATACCTCAAAGTACAATAAATAAATAAAATTAACAACAAATAATACGGCTAATATTCCGAATAGTACGTCTCGTTTTTCAAGCTAGAAAAAAATTTTAATCGATACAGAAATGTTAATAATTCAATATTATATAAGTCATAATCAATGAAAACCACTAGATTATGAGGAAAAAATTAACAAAGTTTTTAAATTTCATACAACTGAAATCCGTCATTACTGTGCGTCCATTATTCATTATAGACTATTATTTTAAGGTAAAAACTTACGTTTTCACTTTCTACGTTGTAAGAAGACACAAACACACAGATATATCACAAAAACACAAGTTTCTACTTCATGAACATGTATTATTAACAATTTCTAATATTTAATATTTAGCCTTCGTTGTTAGGTTCTTTTTTTATGACCACCCAGAAAACTTTAGTGTAACAGTTATAATTTGGAAGTGTGTGAATTCTTAAATTTATACATGTTGTCAAACACAAAATGGCGGATTTATTTAGTGAAAATAACAAGTTTTAAATATTTTTTTTTTTAAAAGTAAGTGTTTGCCTTGGTTTTCCACGTATGTAATATTTAATTATTAACATTTCTCTATCGATTAAAATTTTTTTTCTAGCTTGAAAAACGAGACGTACTGTTCGGAATTTTTACCTCGAAAAAAATTGCAAACCTTTTTTCACATTGAAAGAGAGATCAGAAGACTGCGTATGTTTGATTTTCCAAAGCCACACGCCTGTGTTGATCATTTATTTAATACCCAATGTAGACTATGCTATGATCATTTGTTGTGCTTGTCAATTTACAATCAGCCTTAATTAAAATTGAATAAAAAAAACTGTGTTAAATAAACAGGGTTTTATTTTAAATGTTTAAGAAAATTGAAAAGTATGGTTAAATGTTATTATAAATCTTTTAATTTTGGGAATACAGCATCTACACAGAACTTCATTGCAGCATCCAAAACAGATATGATGCTGCAATCAAATGGCACATAATACACATCTACTTTTTCAAAATGTAGCCTAACTACACAGAAAATTGCTATGTTTTCTTCTGCTGAATAACATTTTAAGCATCTTGTGCCCAACATTTTTCAAGTTTTGTCCCTCTAGCTATTGCAATGGAATGAACTTTCATGGTGCCACCATAATTTTTCAATTTTACTTTTGCAGTGAGCAACTTCATAAAGAGTCGAGCCAATGATCCTTCCATACCTGTAAAAGTAGAAAATGTATTTTTTTTTCTTTTATGTCAGACGGTGCACCTGATGTTGTGAATACCGCCGCCCATGAGAGTTCCTGATGCGTTGACAATTGAAAATTGAGGCTCCGGCCACCACGCTCACCAGACAAAACGCGAAAATATTATACCTCAACTTTACGCCGGTCTTCTGTGAGGTTGTGGTACTTACCCGGACAAGCCAACCCATTCGTGCAACAGCCGAGGCTGCTACGTGGCTCTACCACCGTTATACTTTTTACATATAAGTTTATGCTATCTATGCATGAAAATTTGTTTTTATAAATACATAAATTGAGTATATAAATAAAACTATATTATCTTAAACCATAATAGGAAAAACACCATGTTGATATGATCAGACATCATTTTGTTTATCTTCCAAGAAATGATTGTGGAGAGTCCAAGCTTACAACCAAGCCTGAACAAAGTTTATGTTTGTTTATATTATGTTGCTATCCTAAAAATATCAGGTATAATATTTTCA